ATCCTTCCTTGAAAAATTAAATGCCTTTCATCCGTTTTTCTTGTACTTTTCTACTTCCACAAATTAGGTAACCATTCAATGACATAATTGGCATTAAGTAATTTAGTGAGCAAAACACCTTCCAGCATCATGAATACTGGTCAGTAGGAGTGAAACAACTAGTTGAGCATCGGCTTTGTTTCCCCAAGTTCCATGACAAAAATAAGCCATGTTCTCAGCACCAGAGCCTTACCATCAGGTTATGGAGAGTAACTAATAGCCTCAGCAACAGCCTTTGGTATTTGAGGAAGGAGTTTTTTAAGGGACCCCTTTGGTCAACAACTCAATGAGATGTAATCCATTCCTGGCACTGGAAGTTTTATTTTGTGGCATAAGATATCTAGTTGGAATGTTGTTGTTTTCCTCCTTATATCATGACTCCACTAAAATTCTGGGAACAGTTGAGGGAAGTGAGAGAATATAAATAAAATATATTGTATGAAAGTGTTTTAATTTAATGAAAAAATAACTTAATGAGATGTGTTGAAGGGTTATAAGTCGCTGTAAGTTGTAGTACATGCTGTCATGGGGCTCAGAGGACCACACTGAGACAGCTCAGAGAAGAATATGGTTTTATACAAAAAACACTCTAAAGATGCAACCAGAAAACTGCTAGTTGATAAATGCATTCAGTACAGGATACAAAATTAACAAGAACAAGGAAAGAATAGCTTTCTTATGTACAAGTGAAAAACTTACTAAGAAAGAAATCAAGAACACAATGCAGTTTTTTTTTTTTTTTCTGAGACAGAGTTTCTCTGTGTAGCTTTGCACCTTTCCTGGAACTCACTTGGTAGCCAAGGCTGGCCTTGAACTCACGGAGATCTACCTGGCTCTGCCTCCCAAGTGCTGGGATTAAAAGGTGTGTGCCACCACCACCTGGCTCACAATGCCATTCTTAATAGCTTCAATAATAACAAATTTTAGAATAAATCTAACCAAGGAAATTAAAAACTTGTACAATGAAACCTTTGAGACACTGAAGAAAGAGATTGAAGAAGATACCACCACATGAAAAGACCTTCCATACTCACAGGTTGGCATGATTAATATTGTGAAAATGCCATCCTACCAAAGACAATCTATAGATTCAACATAATCTCTATTAAAATTGCAAAGCAGTTATTCATAAAAACTTAAAAATAATCTTAAGTTTTATGTGGAAATACAAAACAGGCTAGCCAAAACAAATCTGAGCAATAAAAAGTTGCAGTAGGTATTTCCATGCCGGATTTTAAGTTATATTACAGAAATATAGTAATACAAACAGCATGGCACTGACATAAAAACAGTTATTCAATGTATAGAATTGATGACCCCATTAAATACACAATTACATAGCCACCTGATTTTTGACAAAAAAGGACATTATGTATTAGAGAGAAGTTAGTATCTTTAACAAATTGTCCTAGTCAAACTGGATTGCTGTATGTAGAAGTATGAAACTCTATTCTAATCTCTTCCTATACAAAATACAACTCTAAATGGATCAAGGAACTCAGTGTTAGAAATGATAACCTGGATAGAGAAGAAAGTAGGGAGTATGCTTGAACTCACTGACACAGGAAAGGATTTTTTGAGCAGGACCCTGATAGTGCAGGCACTAAGGTAAAAAATTAATGAAAGGGATATTTGATACCAAAAAGCTTATGTACAACAAAGGGTACTGTGAATCTAGTTTGGAAGAAGCCCACAGAATAGGAAACATCCTAACATCTGACAGATGATTAGTATTTAGAACATGCAAAAAACTCAACAAATTAAACTTAAATCAACCCAATTTTAAAAATGGGCTCAGAATTAAATATCTCAAAAGATGAAATAAAAATGACTGGGAAATATTTTTTAAAATGTTCAAGCCACCAAAGAAATACAAACGAAAACTCCTTTGAGATTTCATCTTACCCCAGTCACAAAGATTAGGTGAAGAAAAAACTGACAAAAAATGCTGGCATGCAACACTTATTCACTGCTGGTGGGAGTTCAAGCTGTTGTGCCACTATGGCATTCAATGTGGAAGTTCTTCCTAAAGCCAGAAATGGATCCACCACATGATCTGGCTATACCACTCTTAGGCATATACCCATAGGATTTCATATCCTACTATAAAATTACTTGCTTATCGCTACTCTATTCCTAATAGCCAGAAATTGGAAACAGCCTAGATGTCCATCAACAGATGAATAATGAAAATGAAGTATATTTACACAATGAAATATTATTCAGTTGCAAAGAAAAACTAAATTATAACATTCTCAGGTAAAATTCTGAGTGCAATAACCCACATCCAGAAAGGCAAATGTGTTTTATATTTTTTTTTCTCATTTGCGGATGTTAGCTTTGAATCTTCAGATATACGTGTTTCATTTAGAATACCCATAGAGATCAGGGAATTTCTAAGGGGCCATGGAGGGGACATGGAAGTTAGTTGTTTAAAACTGAAGGGGAATAAGGGAATTGTTAGTGTTAAATAGGGGTAGGAGAGGAGAGGGTGGGCTAGAGGAGGGAGTATTGGGAGAGAGAAATATTATTAAAGATCTCTTTAAAAAGTCATTTAGAAACCTACTGACTTTGGGGATGGAGAGATGGCTCAGTGTTTTAGAACATTTGTTACTCTTGCAGAGGAACCAGATTTGATTCCTAGAATTCACATCAGAATTCACAACCTCCCATAACTCTAGTTTGAGGGGATCTGACTTCCATGGACACCAAGCATATGTGTGGTATACATATGAACATAAAAGCAATACACTTATAGAAAAAATAAAATGACTAAATATAATTTTAACTATTAACAAAGAAACCTACCTACTACTGTATAAGCTTTCACATATGCATGTATTAATTATAATGGAGTTAATCTATAATGGGGCACAATGACTCTATTATACATCACAGGCTAACAAACAAAAATCCCAGTGCCAAGAATAAGTTTCTTCTTTTGGAATTGTTACCCAGTCAGTTCCCAAAGACCTTCAAACATTAAAGGATTTCCAGTTCTCTTGGTTTCCTTCTAGAGCTTGATAATATGTCCCTGTTGCTGAATATACCACACATTTGAATCATAGAAAATAGAGGTATCAAGCTGATACTCAACTGAAAACTTCATTTATACTGGATAGCTTTCATAGTGCTAGAAGGTGTTATGCTGCTAGAGGAGAAATGTAATAATCATTCTTTCCCAGCTATAAATCCTGTGGTTCCTGTCTGGTCTGTCAAGATATACTCATTGAAGGAAGAGTAGCATGAACATCATGGGCATAATGAACCACTTTCCTGTTTGATATAACAATCATACCACAAAGTGAAACTTATGCCTGGCCCCATTATCAGGCTAAGAACCTATAACTAGACAGATTCTTGGCTCTGAGGGAGATCTGCTACATTGACATAGTATTAAAGCAGCTCTAATTGAGTTATTATTACACCAAAAGTTTAAATCAGCTTTCAACTCTCAACAGAGAATCTTCTCTATGTAGTAGATACTGATTAAAGCAGAGACCCACAACTGTCGAAGGTGTGAGAAGAAGAGACTGCTCAGCTCTCAGTGGAACATATAAAACACACTCAAACCCTCTCTCAGAAATCCTTGCAGAAGATGGGAAATAAAAAGTGGAAGAGCCAGAGGTGGTAAATGACTACAGACTTTATCTTCTGCATATAGCAGGGCAGTTGTGGTTGTAACAACACGCATAAAACCCATGCAAGGCCAGGCCAGACCAAACGGCACCATAGACAGCGGAAGTGGGGATGAAGTTCCACCCCTATCTGAGGAGCTATTGGGAATTGATAGCTTCTGGGAGAGAGTCAGTTATCTCTAAGAGTGTAGGCCCTGGTGAGTGGACCATGCTCCAAGAGAATAGTCAAACAACACAATTTGCTTTGGATGCATTTTAAAACAAATAAAACGATACGAATTGGGTGTGTAGGAAAGGAAGTGGATTTGGTAAGAGTATGGGGGGTATGATGCACAAGTTGTACAAAATTCTCAAGGAACTGGTGTGTGTGTGTGTGTGTGTGTGTGTGTGTGTGTGTGTGTGTGTGTGTGTGTGTGTGTATGGAGAGAGAGAGAGACAGACAGACAGACAGACAGACAGAGGAATTTATTAGAAGAAAGTTTTGTTTGTTTTCTTGGACAGTTTTGGAGTTTGAGCACTACTTGTCATTAGTTAGAAAGCAATGTTCTAACTTACTCATATTGATAAATAACCCAAAGTTTGCATTTGAAAGAGGATGTTCTTCATGAATATAAGATTTTATAATGTGGGTTGAAAAATAACTCTCTGTTTGTCATTGGGAAATTAGTGTTAAATTATCAGAAAAGCAGATTTTTATTGAAAAATAATTTGTTTCATACCATATATTCTGATCAGGGTTTGCTCTTCCTCATCACCTCCCCCGGATCCTCCCCACCTCCCCATGCTTCTTTCTCTCCAAGTTTAGGAAACCAACAGTCAAATTAAACAAACAAACCAGAACAAAACAAAACAAACAAACAAAAAAGGAAAAAGCACAGCAGGAGAGAAACATTTTGTGCAGACACACATATATCCACACAAAACCCCCATTAAAACAAAATAGGGAACCATAATATACAAGCAAAAGACCAGTAAGAAAAAAAACAAAACAAAACAAAACAAAACAAAACAAAACAAAAAAACCCTAAACAAAGCAATATGAGACAAAGAGCTCCAAAAACACTATTGAGTTTGTTTTGTGTTGGCCATTTACTTACCATAGCACAAAACCTGTATTGAGGAACCTGGACAGATATGTGTCAATTTATGCAGCTATGTTTGTAATGTGAATTACAAATGGTCACACTATCATATTATTTAATTCTCAACAAGAAAAATTACGTACCTTTATTTCCCCATATGCTCTAATATAGATCTGCACAGTTAATAAGACTTAAATATCAAGCTTTTGTTTTTGTTAAAATTATTTATTTCAGAGACCAAACTTTTAGTGGTTGGGGAGTACACGTCATTGAAAAATTTCAGATAATCAAGATATTGAAAACATAAAAAGACATGACCAAATGTATTTGTTCACCAAGTAAGTTAAGTAATCTTAGCTAAAACAACACATTTTATACATATAAAGCAAAATGAATCATAAAATGCTTTGATGGATTGAAAATATTTTTGTAGGGTTTACAGGTTACTCTCTATAGGTGCACTATGGAACACTCAAGAATTGTCTTTTCAATGTGTAAGAAGTTATAAATCCATTACTCCCTGAATATCCCCTTTTTTTTCTACCAAAACAATCACATACTAACAGTACTCTCATGGTTGGACACACATTGTTGTCTCTGCAATTTTTCCTAAACGAAACTCGTAGATATAGTATATTTTTGCTATGGTGAATATTTCTTTACACACAGAACTTCTTTTTTTGAAATAACTTATTTAGAGCAAGTTTGACATCCCTGTTCCTTAGGCTGTAGATCATAGGATTCAGCATGGGCACAACAGTAGTATAGAACACAGAAGACACTTTGCCTTTATCTTTGGAGCTGACTGAGAAGGGCTGCAGGTACATGAATGCCAGGGAACCAAAGAAGACAGCAACAGCAGAGAAGTGGGAGCTACAAGTGCTGAAGGCTTTGAATCTGCCCTCAGTGGATTTGATACGGAGGATGCTAGCAATGATAAAGATGTATGAACCCAGGATGGTCAAGGTTGGAATAAAGATGTTGAAAGCACTGAGGCATAGAAGTACTACTTCATTGACAAAAGTACTAGAGCAGGCAATCTCCATCAATGGGAAAAGATCACAGAAATAATGGTTTATTATATTAGACTTACAGAAAACCACTCTTAGCATGCAGAGAGTATGAACTGCTGCACCGATAAAGCCCATGCTGTACACCCCACCTACCATCCAGGAGCAGACTTGATAAGACATAGTGACATTGTAGAGCAAGGGGTTACAAATGGCAACATAGCGGTCATAGGCCATGGCAGCCAACATGTGACACTCAGATATAACAAAGGCTATGAAGAAGTAGAGCTGAGTCATACATTCCTCATAGGAGATGACATTCTTCTTTGCCACAAAGTTCACCAGCATTTTGGGGGTAATGATAGTGGAATAACAGAAGTCAATGAAGGAGAGACTGCTGAGGAAGAAGTACATGGGGGTGTGCAGGTGGGAGCTGAGCAGGATCAGGATGATCATGCCCAGGTTCCCCAGCACTGTGACCAGGTAGATTCCAAGGAAGAGGAGGAACAGGGGCAGCTGCAGCTCTGGTTTGTCTGTTAACCCAGCAAGGATGAACTCAGTCACTGTGGACTGATTGCCTTCTGCCATTTCTTCCTGAGAGTTCTATTTAAGAAGTGAAAAGAAATAGGAGTTAGATATTTATTGTCTTTCCATATATTGAAGTGTAATATAGAATTTAAGTCTTTTGGGACAGGTATTTCAGTTCTCTAACAATAACTTGTATATGTTAGTTAGCAAAAAAATAATTATGATCACCTAAAATATGGAACATGCAAACAAATAACAGGTAGACCTAAGCCATGTACATTCATCTGTGTTCTATTGCACAACAGTATGCTTGTACTTGGTCCCAAATACCTGAAGAATAGGTATGATTACTTTGATTTTGCTTCCTCTGGACTATTGGTGAAATTATTAAGGCCACTCCATGTAGTTAAAAGGGAGGTTTTTTTTTTATGGGGTAACTTACAAGTGAAGGGATAGTTTACAGGGTCTGGGAAAGGTGTAGTGCAGTACAGTGGTGTTCTTTGGAGAACCCTGCTCGGTCTACCTCCAGTGTTCAGGGTCCAGGAACCAAGAGAGCTGGCACATCTGGATTTGCCTTGTAGGTGTTGATAGTTACCAAAGCCTCAATGGGGGTTGGAACTTCTAGATCAAAGCTGGAATGGCTACCCACTACATCTTTCCCTTTTGTCTAAATAAGAAGGTTCTAACCTAATACAAGATTATATACAAAGGAATGGTTATCAAATATTGTCCAGGAGTAATGAGGATAAGATGGAACTACAACCATTGCGAACAATCTAGCAAGAAACACATACTAAAATCCAGAGAAGTTTAGGTGTAGGTAAATGGCACATTACAAAAATCATTCCAAAAGGTGTCTTATCCTAAAGAATCTGAATCTAATATCTAATACTTAATATGTTCTAAGATCATATATATAAATGTGTACATATATGTGTGTGTGTGTGTGTGTGTGTGTGTGTGTGTGTGTGTGTGTACTAAGTGGTAACTATAACTGCTAGTCTTCAATCCCGCAAGAAACACATACTAAAATCCAGAGAAGTTTAG